ATCACCACTTTCCATTGCTCTGTCGTATTGGCTTTTTTTACTTTTTTCAATTCATTCTGTATCTCTGCTTCACTGTGACTTGATTCAGAAGTCTTCTTCCTAGTTCTCTTTGAAGTAACCTCTTGCCACTCTTCTCGTTCGTCATCCGATTCACTTGCCATACTCTCTATATTTCCAGAAAGTTCTTCTCCTGTCCTTAAAGACGCCATAGTCTCCCGATCCCTCGTCCTCAGTCTCGAGCGTGACCTGTCGGCAGCCATCACTCACCGCGACCGCATTTCTCTGTACTGAACCTCACAAATCTCTCTTATACCTGTTTGGCCTGAAAAACAAAATGGCCTCCAATGGACTCAGATGTGGCTAATCCATTCACTCATTAACTAGCTTGTGTTACATACAATAACTTTAGGCAACATCTTCAGAATAAACACTATACAATTAAATCTACATAAAACATTGTCAAGGTCTCAAATTGTTAACAACAAAATGTAAAGGGATTTCCAAACCCCTCCCCCTCTTCCTCTGGTAGCTTCCTGTGACCACAGCTCTACACAGGAGTTTCTAATTGCAGGAAGTGGATTGACACTTCCTCCTGAAAGACAGGTAAAGTAAGTTCACCCTTAGCCACTTTCACACACTCTGTCACAGCAACATACCACAAAATCCTGCAGAGATAAAGCTAATCTCTCTGAGTGGCTGTTGTGGAAATAGAGAATTTGTTTTGACTAAAACCTGAATAAATCCATAACATTATGGAACATGGTGACAGCAGGAAATGAACAAAACGAGATCCGTCCTGTTTTAAACAACCACAGGCCTGATAATAAACCTTTTATTTTCCAGTCCTGAAGCCGACAGGAAAAGGTAGTTGTGCTGAGTTTTTTTCTTTTAAAAAATAATTATTGGTTTATATATTTAAGGTTTGTTCTAATTTGACCAGAAATGATTAAACTGACTTTAAAACAATCATTTAGTCGTTTAGTAAAAGCCAACCTGGCCGTACATTATCACCCTCATTTTCCCACAGATAAAGTTGTTTGTCCAAAAAGTCTCCTGAGAAATAATCATCATATTTCAAAGTTAAAACAATCCACTTGACTTTGTTTCCAAGTTTGAAGACGTTTCTCTTCCATCCAGGAAGCTTTTTCAATTCAAAATGTCAGAAATAGTGTTGAGTTCCAGGTTTTATCCAGCAGCCCAACAAAGCCTGGTTTAAGTTTAGAAAACATGCAAATAGAAACTGATGAACGGGTCGACCCCTTTGGAATCGGGGTTGTTTGGCTTCTTTGTTAGCCTGCAATGCCCTATACCTGTCTATGTCTCTGAATCATTCATTTTCAACCAAGTTTAGTTTATTTATATTGAGTTAATTCACAATACTTGTCATTTTAAAGAGATCATTCAGTCTAACTGTTTCAAAGTTTTCTATCTAAGGAAAACCAGTTCATTGCATCGACTCATTGACTCTTCAGCAATCCCTCACGCTAAGCATGCTTGTAGCGACAGTGGAGAGGAAAAACTCCCTTTAAACAGGAAGAAACCTCCAGCAGAACCAGGCTCAGAGTGAGAGGCCATCTGCTGAGGCCGACTGGGGTTCAAGGAGACAGAAGCAGAGATACAAAAAGCAGCTGTAAAAGGCGGCCCTGTCCAGAAAACACACAGCAAGGCAGAAGGGCTCCAAGCCTGTGTCCTGAAAAAGCCCCACCAGCTTTCAATCCGCTGATTATGATTGCTGGAACAGAGATAAAGCAATTACTGGAGGAGCGACCAGCACTCCATCTCAGGAACCTCTGCATGTCTGCCATAGTAATATTTTCATTTCCAAAATCTGGGCGGATTCAAGCAGGGGTCCCCATCCTCATCTCAACTTCTTTAATAAAATATCCAACAATAACTTTAGGATCACTGCTTGTGGTAAAAGGATGAATCCATATCATTTGTCTGGAAAATACATCTATTGCTCTATTAAAACAGATACCAAACAGCTTCAGGTTATCATAGGACTCAACATGCCACAAGAAATTAGGTCCAGAATTAATATACACGCGTCGCATCAGCCTCCTCCT